AGATGTTTTACCCAATGCTACATCTAAAGAGAAGATTTATATTTGTTCCAAGCTATTATTTGTCTTATATGTGATGTTTATCAGAATTTAAAATGTATAGTTTTGAGTAGGATAAAAAATAATTACGTTATCTCCTATCTAGTTTGTACATTATTCCCATAACTTTATTTAAACATATATTTATTTATTTATTTGTTTATATGTATACTTAATATATTCCTCTGGTAGGTTAAAGAGGGCTCCCAGATCTGCATTAGCCTACTTCATTTTCTGCTTCGCTTGGCTCTCTTCCCTTCCTCCGACAATATTGGGCCGGTCCTGTGTGGAGGTGAACTTGCTGCTAGATATACTTCATCTATTTGTCCGAGTATTGGAACCCCAATCGCTAAAGCATCTAGCGCCAATAAAACCACCATCACAGCCAAAGCCAGTTCTGCTAGTTCATGCCTTCAAGATACTGCTCTCTTGGCTCCCTTGACGCATGACTGCATTGCTTCCAGACGTACGCCTTCTTCAGAAGGTTCTGTAGGTTTGACTCGTAACGACGCTGTCGTTCCCGACGAGGCCGCTAAAAGGTTAAATAGTTCTTTGCGGAATCAGCTCTTTGTTCGTTCTAAACTTCCACGTTCTCAAGACGAAAGGCACCGCCACCCGACAGGAGTAGAGGTAATTGCAATTTATGCTGACCAACTTCGTTCGGCACTCAGCCTCGTAGATTCTGATTTACTTATCCAATGGATCTCCGAAGAAGAGGAAGCTGCCCAGGTTAGCAAGCATACTTTTTCTAACCACGCCAATAGAACCATGTCTATTACTAAATTCACGCGAAAATTATTTCACTTAATTACATTTATGCTAAAATTATTTTCTCATCATATGAACATGTGTCCTACATGTCAGACTGCTCTTAACTAGTTTCTTTTATAATTTTGTCATCAGGCAAATATTTTAAACTTTTGCAGGTTAGCCGACAGCAGGTGCTCTCTTTCTGCCCCACAAATGAGCCCATTTCTGATGTCAAACCTAAATTAGATAGTTTACCCTGCCCAGCGGGTTGGTCTGGAGTCGTAGTGACTCATTGTCGCCTTCTTTGTCTGCTACACGACGGCCTAGGTGGTCCCACTTATCCTGGCCTCAGCGATCTGCTCATCGGCTATACATTGGCGAATTCTGGTCTCCTTCTTCGTCTGGCCACTTGGTGGAGCGCACCTTTATTCGTCCAAAAGCCGGTTGGGGGTCATCTGCCCACCTTGACTCCAGGTCTTGCATCCCTTTTGCCTTGCCAACAAAAGGCGCCATGTCTCCCATCCTTTGTATTTCCTGCTGCTACTGTGAATATTGCACCATCTTCCCCTTCTACTACATCCTCAGCATTCTCATGTTCTGGTAACTCGGAAGAAGCTATGCTTGGACGATTTGCCTCCCTAGGCGACCTTCTGATTCAGCAGGGTTCCATTACTAGCCAGCCTCGTCTTCAAATGGCTGAGGCTGTTCTGCAGCTTTTTTGGCGCGTAATTGGCGCTGGACGTGCACACCTCGAGGGTGGCTCCATAGGTCTCCCAGCAGTTGGCTCACGGATAATCAAGCAGGTCCGTCAACTCTGCATAGTGGTCTTAGATTACCTCTCATTCGAGTACACTTTAACTCCTACTTTTTAAACTCCTTTTTCCTGTACGGTTATGCATTTAGATACAGATCCTAATTTAGATCAGACAATGTAAGATAATATAAAAGTTCAAGAGATTGCCTATATCACTGCCAGTTTTTTCTGGGAATCTATTTTTCATTTGCTGTCATCTTGTCTATTTTTTGTTAATCAATTTATCTATCCATCAATCCCAGGCAGCGTATCCTATCCCTCTTCAACTGGCTCAAGGTGGTCTTTCACCACTGTCAACAGCATTGTTACAATTCACGCCTACTGTCTACCGTCTTGCGGAGAGCCAACTCAACCTTTGCGCCCTCCTCCTTTTTCGTTCTGCCATCTCTTTGACTACGCCCACCACTCCTACCTCAACCTCTAGCAGTGCCAACGCTACCTCTACTGTTGCTAGCAGTCTTACCACTTCGCATACCGCCAGTCCCTACCCCTCTACTGGTGTATGCGCTCCCCCATCTTCAATTACGGCCAGTCCCGCCGCTGATCGGATGGCGCCAAAGTCAGCAAATACTTCGACGGCTACTGCAGGCACGACAGCCTCTTGCCGTTTCGTGATCACGAATCCTGAAACTCGAGTTGGCTTGATCCATTTCATGCGGCATTTGGCCATCTGCCTTAGCTTGATAGCATCAGGAACGACGCTGCTCGGCGACTTAACAATGCTTTCTGTTTGTATTTTCATTTTTGAGCTGGCAATCATTTCATGTGATATTTTTTGTTTATAAGTAGCTTTTTGAGATTAAAATCAATTCATATATATGAGATGTATTCACCACATTTCGTTACGAGGGATAAACGACTGCTAGTTTAATTTTCCCATAATGATATGAGTAGAACTTGCTTTTTCATTTAATTTTACATTAATTTGCTTCCCCAAGGATATGCTCACCCAGAGTTGACTGAAGTTTCGTTCTCGCCTAGTTCTTGTAAGCACCACCAAAGGGACTCGAACTGTGGTAGGGCAGCGTTTCATCTCGACACATTAAACACTACGACGCTTCCATGAATGCCCCTGGGTAACAGGGCAGATGCTTATTTCACCGAAGTCCAGACCTTTTCCCATATCGCCTGATCTACTAGTAATCTTGAAAACCTACTTATAAACGAAAAATAAGTAATGCAGTCAATTGCTATTGTAAATACAAATGTGCTTCATCGACAATCCCACCACAGAATGTGATATGGAAAAATGTTTGGCCTTACTAAAAATTCACATTTGCCCTGTGACCCAAAGGCATTAATCACAATGCGGCTTTGTGTTTAATATATCGATGTTATACGCCGTACTATCACGGTTAGAGTCCTGCTGATGCGACCTAAGCAAGGTCGAAACTACAGTCCACCCGGAACTAAAATATCTTTGAGAAGCTAAGCCATGTAACATTAAATGGAAGCATAAGGTCTACTCATTTCATTCTAGGAAAATTCAAATATCAGTCCTTTATCACCCTATGCGGAATGGTGTGATTTCATCTTATATATTTCGTGTAATAGTTTGTGACCAACGATTCGTCGGTCGATTTCACCATACAGCGATTTCTATTTATCTTATGGTTTTCGGCATTAAGGCTGATACGGCCATTGTTTAGATGAAAGAATTCTGAGATTTTATTGGTTATTCAACAAACCTCATCAAAATAGAGCTTATTCGTATTTCGACTTCAAACTATCACCACTTAATGAAAAAAGAGCCCTCCTTGTTCCTTTGTAAAATATATACTATCTCAAAGATACATATTTTGGGAGTTATATAGATGTTATTTGTTTTTTTTTAAAGTTTATGTCCATCCTTGTGCACAAATGTTTATGCGCGTTTACTTACTATTATGGGAAGGACTTTAATTTCTTATAAAAGTGTATGAAGAAGAGATTCTTAAGTCTATCTCACCAGAATAGGACACAATCCTTTTTATACAGGCGCTATCAAATTCCTTTTCTTGCCTCGTAGGATCCTTGGTTCAATGATTTCACCCGATCACTTTTATCATATCCGTGCGAATCGGTTTGTTTGCTCTAAACTCTGCCTCAAGCCTTTGATAGTACATATCTCCTAGCCTCATTAGACAAGCCCCCAAAGTCTGAATTCTCAAGCTGGATACGAAAATTGTTTGATGCTGCCGATTTTTTTATCACTGTTGGTTATATGTTTTGAAACAACAGCCGCATCTCTCATGCCTTTATCTATAACGTCAAGTTTGACTCTTCTGTCTCATGTGTGCCAACCCCTAAATGTTATACTAGTTTAACTTGCTTTGATTAGGCTCACTGTAGATGCTTCTTGACGTCCAATTGTCGTCTGTGGCTTCGCAATTTCTCTTCCACAAGTTAGAAATATGTCTTCGATCTAATCGTCTTCTTTTTGTTGATTTTGCTTTCCCTAATCTCAGTGTTTGTTTAAGCAATAGACCAAATTTTCTCTAGTACTGCTTTCTTCATGTCTCCTGTTCATTAGATTTCTTTTATTAAGGATATCGATAGTCCCTTAAGTCATGCGTTTTCCTGTATTTTCGCTATGTGCAGCCAAACTTTCTGTCGGCTTCCAGCGGATTTCATGTCCCCTCCGTGCAATGTGTTCTACTATTTGGGATTTGTCCGTATCCATGTTTCTGCATTCTTTGATGTTCCTAGATTCGTAGGCTGATTTTTCTTCCCGTTTAATTATGTGATTCTGCTCAAGTTGTCTTATTCTATGCGATATTTTCCGCTAAATCCAGTTCTTCAAGATTTTCATGATGCGTCGTCAGACTCGTAAAGTGTGTTCTCTTTTCCTTCATTACCACCTTGATATTACATTTTCTTAGTAACGGTCGCAATTTTTGGCTCAGTTCGCAGGAAGACAGGCTAATCAACTTTTGGTTATTCTCCCGATTAGTGATTTTATTTTCACAATATCCAAGTTGGTAGCTGCTCTTTATGACGCCTTTATTTCTATATACTCCCGCTCGGGGTGTTGATAAGACTTATGTGAAGTGGAAACTGTAGTTCACCTTGGATGAGAACAATTTTTGGGAAAGCAAGGCTATGTGAAACTTGATGGAAACGTCAACTCTATTCATATCATTGTGGGAAACTTCTACTACCAGTCCTTCATTACCTTAAACGAAATAGGGTGAATACATCTCATATCCCTTTCAGTTTGTTTAACTCTTCGTCCGCTAGTCTTAAATTTCTGGTGATAACACTTCGCAATATTCCGATCTTCAGTTCGTAGTTCTGATGAGACTTGAAATTGACGATAATTCCCGCTTGTGATTTCTTTCTGAATAGTCTCCTTTTGGATATCATCTTTGAGCGCATGACCACAACCTCCAGGAAGGGTAGTCGATCATCCTCCACCTCCATTATGAATTTAATTATTTCATCAAGCTGGTTCATAAAATTGAGGAGTTCATCCGTATTTTCCTTCCCATGCGACCAAAGTGCAAAGTAGTCATCCAGCTATCGCATATACACCCTTGGTTGCAGGGGTGGCTCATCGAATTCCCTTTCCATTTTGACCATGCATACATTTTTCAAAAGAGGTGATAGTAGAGTTTCCATCGGTGGTCAAAATATTTGCTTATAGATATTGCCGTTGA